TATATTCACTTTTATTATTCTATACAGGTGTTTATAGCCTAGTCCATAAATCTGTGCTGCTTGAAACACAATAGGCAACACTCATCCCAGGTAGTCACAGGCTCAGTGGTCAACAGGTCAAGGTCTAGGTGGAGATCAGTGACAAGTGGTGTCCCACAGGGGTCTGTATTTGGAGTAGTGTCATTTAACATCATCAGCAACATGGAGAGTGGGACTGAGTGCACCCTCAGCAAGTCTGTGGATTACAGCAGTCGACGTGCTGGAGGGAAGGGAGGCCATCCAGAGAGACCTTGACAGGCTGGTGGGCCTGAATGAGTCTCATGAAGTTCAACAAGGCCAAGTGCAAGGTCCTTGGGTCAGGGCAATGCCAAATGTGGAAGCTGGCTGGGTGATGAGTAGATTGAGAGCAGCCCTGTGGAGAAGGATGTGGGAGTACTATGGAAAACTGAATATGAACCAGCAATCACATCCTGGGCTGCATCAAAAGGTGGGAGTACCAGTGAATGGAAAACTGAATATGAACCAGCCATCACATCCTGGGCTGCATCAAAAGAGCCATGGCCAGCAGGTCATGGGGGGTGATTCTGTACCCCTGTCTCATGAGACCCCACCTGGAGTGCTGTGCTCAGCTCTGGGGCCCTCACCATCAGAAGGATGTGGACTTGCTTGAGAGAGTCCAGAGCTGGGCCACAGAACTCAGCTCTGGGGCCCCCACCATCAGAAGGATGTGGACTTGCCTGAGAGAGTCCAGAGCTGGGCCACAGAAATGATCAAGGGGCAGAAGCACCTTATCTGTGAGGACAGGCTGAGAGAGTTGGGGTTGTTCAGTGTGGAGAAGAGGAGGCTCCAGGGAGACCTTATTAGCAGCCTTCCATCACATAAAGGGGGCCTACAGGAAAGATGGGGAGGGTCTCTCTATCAAGGAGTGTAGTGATAGGACAAGGGTTAATGGTTTTGAACTGGAAGAGGGTAGAGTTAGGTTAGATATAAGGAAGAAATTCTTCACTATGGGGGTGGTGAGACACTGGAAGAGGTTGCCTACAGAGGCTGTGGATGCTTCCCTCCTGGAAGTGTTCAAGGCCAGGCTGGATGGGGCTTTAAGCAGCCTGGTCTAGTGGGAGGTGTCCCTGCCCATGGCAAAGAGGTTAGAACTAGATGATCTTTAAGGTTCCTTCCAACACAAACCATTCTATGATGCTATGATTCTAGGACTATGGTAACCATAGCAGTATTGTTTAGGTTGGAAGAGACCTTCAAGATCATTGAGTCCAACTGTTCCCCCAGCACTGCCAGGTCCCCACTGCCCCATGTCCCTCACACCACATCTCCACGGCTTGAAAACCCCTCCAGGGATGGGGACTCCACCACTGCCAAAGTATCATCTTCCCACATAATTCACAGTGCCAAGAGGCACAAAATCCCAAATGTCTGACAACTTTTTCTGTAGACTCTGTATCTCTGTTCTTCCCATCAAGATGTTCTCTCATCTTCTCCATGTGGTCCCACACGGGGCATCACTTACCTCTTGTCTTGCCTCTGTAGTGCACAATAGATCTTGATACCCAAATACCAATAACACAGCTCCTTGGGTCACTTCTTTTGTCACAGACTTTCTCTGCATGCACATCCCTCATACAAGCCCATTCTACCATTTCCAACAACAGGGTGATCCATTCCTATGCTTCAAAATGCTGAAAGGTGGACAACTGTAATGCTCTGGTTACCAGAGATCTTTTATTCTAAAGCCATGGTGTAATTTACCATTGAGTTAAAAAAAAATACCCTCTGGCAATATTTGAGAGATATCACAGTGAAATGGAAAAGAGTGGTCATTTAGATTTTCATTAAATTTCTTTAGGAGCTTCAATGAAATTTTCTTCACTTGTGTTTATCTCCAATTGTTTGTCTTAAACACAAAATCAAGTTTGCTTGTATGATAGTGGCTGCTGGAAATATTCTAAAGAATGCATAAGGAAAATAATTTTTTGACAACTGTAAATTTTTCACAAAGAAAACTTGAACTCCTCTTCTATGAGTTCATAATCCAAATGAAGTTACAAAAATCTAGTACTTGTATGGATCTGCCTGCCCTTTTTTAAGCTAATGACATAAAACTTGCTCATTACACATTAGAGAAAATCAAGAACTTTTTGCATGGAAACTGCAAACAGGAATAGATGAACTTTATTACATAATTTGTTATGAATTGTTTTGCAGATGTAATCACAATACATTTATATATTGGAGTTTTTCTTTCATATATACTCAAGGTCCAAAATTCTCAAATGTAGAAACATCCTTTCAAGGCAGAGAATCAATTAATGAAGGGTCTGAGGCTGATCCATTAAAAATACTGCTTGTTTTTAGAGAGAGAAAATCAGAAATAGCAGCTCTGGAGCCCCCAGCATAAGACTGATGTGGACCTACTTGAGAGGGTCCAGAGGAGGGCCACAAAGATGATCAAGGGGCAGAAGCACCTCTGCTGTGAGGACAGGCTGAGAGAGTTGGGGTTGTTCAGCCTGGAGAAGAGAAGGCTCCAGACAGCACATTTGGCTTCTGGAATACATCAGGAAGCACAAAAATAAGAGAGTCAAAGTTTAGAACTTAAATAGCAACAAAAACCCAAGTCCCATATAGTTCATTATAGCATGTGAGGAATTCAGAGTTTACTAAATGTGCTTGGTGTAGCCACAATTGAAAATTTAGCAAGATTTTTAAGGATAATTTTTTTTTCCTGAAAGCCTTAGTAAATGATGCATTTCTTAAATTCTCATCTAATTGAAATGTTTTGAGTTTTCCCAGCTGTGATGATTTCATCACTGTGTGTTTATTGCTCTTCTTCAGATCCTCCCCCTTCCATTTTTCCTTCATTTGGACTAACACAAAGAAAACAGTAATGGTTAATGAGTTGATATCATAAATATCAAAACATATATCAATACATATGTAAACAAATAGTGGAGGACTCAGCCCTCACATCTACTGACTATACAGAGGCTTAGACACAGTGATGATCTTCTCAGTCCAGCTGACTTCTTTTTTCATATGCTTAGGTTGTAAGTTTTTTTAATTAAGACTATTTTTATAGAAGAATGACTTCATAAAACAGAAAAATAGCAATATTCTGATTACAATTTCATTCTACAATGTGAGAGGTTTCCTTTCTTTGTGCACGCTAAAGGTTTTCCTACCTCTTCTTTTTCAGCCACATGGGTTGGAGGAGGTTACATCAATGGGACAGCAGAAGCTGTGTATGTTCCAGGCTATGGTCTAGCTTGGGCTCAGGCACCTATCGGATATTCCCTAAGCCTGATTTTAGGTAAGCAAAAATATAATGCTAATAGTCTCTCAGTTTAAACATGTCTGATTACTGTTCTGTCTTTTGAAATGAAACAACGAGGGTCTGATGAAGGAATACTGAGGTGAACAGGATCCCTTCTGCTGATATGTTTGGCTATAAAAAAAGAAAATAAAATCATTATAAATAGTTTGATATCTTAAGTCTCCTGAATGCCTTGGCAAGATCTATTTGATTATTACAACCATAGTGATTTATGGAGGTCACAATTAGAAAGGTTTTGTCCTGAGATTTAAAAAAAAATACATATATTAAGTTTTATACATCTAGGGTTTTTTTAAGTGCTTATATGATCTGGAACACAATAGTACAAGGGCATCTATAAAACCTGGAATTCAAGAGTGGCAAATATCTGTTCAGGTTAATGAAGTGCTTATACCTTACAAGTCTTCACTAAGCATCTAAGTAACTTGTCTAATTTTGTGTAGGAAGTAATTTCCTTAAAAATTGGACCAAATATCCTCTTAAATGTTGTACTAAATTCCAAATCTCGTGTCAAAATGCAAATACAAAATACTATTACATTCAGGGTCAGAGTGCAAAATACAGGCAGCATTATAATTTTTAATGCTGTGGCCTCTAATTCCTGGAATCTAGTTAGAGAACTTCCTTATTTTTCTTAAAAATAATAGCAATAAAAAATTTCTCACCATGTTTTAACCACATGGAGCAGCTCACAACAGAAGCATTGCCTTGTAAAACGTGACGAATACACCACAAAGTTGTCAGCTACAGCCTCTCAGTTTGTGAACAGATCATGGGCCCAAGGCAACTGCTGATGCAACAGTTTAAAAAAGAATGTTGTTACAAAAAAGGTCCTGTGGTCTTCATCTTTCATTAATGTGACTGGTGTATTAGTCTTTCCTTCCAGTCTATCCCTTGCTTTCTTTTGGTGGCCTGTCCAGGTCTTGCTCTTTTTTATTTCTTCCTATACAACCCAGTGACCCTCATGACTATTGTTTCCCCCCCAGAAATGCTTTCCTAGGGCCCATCCTGGTTCTCCTCTCTTTCTGGGCAGAAACCTTCCCCATTACTGGTCCCCATTCTTCTCTGGCACATTGGGCCAACTCCTGTTCCACTAGCAGTTCCCATCTCTGACATCAGCTCCTGTAAGGAAAGCAATAGCAGTAGATGTCTGCCAGAAGATCAGTTGATGTCATTATGAGGCCATGAGGGTCATCATCCATTGATGTCATTAAACAGTTGTTAGGATGGTCACCACAAGCATCTTCCTGACTCTTAGCCTCTGTAGAACAAACACAAATTAATAATAGCTTAGAAGAGATTGAGTTAGACTCTTCCCTCATTTCCAGCTGTTTTTAAAGATATCCAGATTTTCTTTTCCCCCTGAAAATGATGATGGCCCCTACAGAGAAATCTGTATTGTGTGGCCATATGTCTCTCTGCAGAGCACAGGGAGGGAAGCATTTCTCTGGTATGATCTGCAGGTTTGGGAGGAGAAGTTGTTAATCCTTCTTTTAAAAAATAAACCTCCAAAATTATAAATATAAGGCTAGAAGAAATAGTACTGCTTGAGGGTGGAAGGTTTTAAGATTGATATAATCTCCCTGTTAGTTCAGTGTTGTGCTGCATACCACTTTTCTAATTTTTCAAGCAATTTAGTTTTGACAGAATGTCTCCAATTTCCTTTGGCAGATGCATGAACTTCATATCAGATTATAATACCAGTGAACTGATGTTGAAGGTCCTTTCCAATCAATTCTGTGATTCTGTGATTTTTTTTTTTCTTCTTTTAGTTGTCTTTTGAAATGATGACATAACAAGTAGGTTAGGAACAGGATCCACAACCAATCCAAGAATAGTAAACATAAATGCTGAAGTTTCTGCATCTAAACAACCTGCCTAAAGACAGCATTAACATAAGCAGTATAAATAAATTGTGATTGGTAAGGTGGTGCTTTTAGTTCAGGGAACATATTGAAATGAAGAAATAAGAATTATATCACGTAATTCATAGAAATATGGAAAATCTGCACAATGCAACAAATACATTACATATTACATATTTTGGGATGAAAAAAAAGGGTTGCCAAATACTACACAGTAGATTTTATTTGGAACTTACTGGTTTTCTAGAGTATTTTATTGTACCTCATATATTACATTCCAGCAGTTTTATAGTTATAGTCACGTGCAGATCGTGGCTACACAAATTTCCATGCCAGGGCTTTTTCAGGCTTCCTGAGATAAGTCCTTTTTTTCCCCAGCCAGAAAGAATTTGAGGATTGTACAATAGAAAGGTGAGCTCTTTACACATTTGTGTACATATCCAGGCCATATGCCAGCCAGGCAGAGCAGAATTGCAATACATCAAAATCTCTGAACATGTATAAGTAAAATGAGTGTATGACAAATGTTCAGGGACCTTGACACCTGCAGAGCCCAGAAAGCATCTGACCTACCCTGCAGGTGCAGTAAGGTTGATTTAAGCATATAGAATAAATCTGGATTGTCCTGAAAGAATCAGATTTGCTGTTTGTGCACTAAACCATGTGTGAACTCATACTGCAGACCCAGAAATCCCAGACAATTTTATTTTTTTGTGTAGAACCATGTGAAAATTCATGCTGGATTCTGCTCTAAGAATGAACAGGATTAGGTAGAGAAAACCTTTCCCTTAGGGGGATCTAAAATTGAACAAAACTGACAGCATCCATAATGGTAGATAATGTAAACTGAAGCAGACAAAATAGAACAGACTTGGTTTGCATTGTCAGACCCCAGGCATTAATGGTGTGAATGTGTTCATGTAACCCTGCAGAGAGATGTAAGGTAAGGGTTCTCAGAGGATATTTTAACTGTACTTATTTATTGTCAAAAACACCAACAAACAGCAATCCTGATATTTTTGTATCCTTAACCAACAACCCTAACTAATGACCCCTTTATGGCAATGCTTTTCTCCACTGCAGCTGGTGTCTTGTGCCTTTTTCCTTTGTAGGTGGCCTCTTCTTTGCAAAACCCATGAGATCCAAAGGCTATGTGACAATGCTGGACCCTTTTCAGCAGCTTTATGGAAAAAGGATGGGAGGGCTGCTCTTTATTCCAGCTTTAATGGGAGAGATGTTTTGGGCTGCTAACAAACAGTAATCCTGATGTTTTTGTACCCTAAACCAACAATCACCCTAACTAATGACCCCTTTATGGCAATGCTTTTCTCCACTGCAGCTGGTGTCTTGTGCCTTTTTCCTTTGTAGGTGGCCTCTTCTTTGCAAAACCCATGAGATCCAAAGGCTATGTGACAATGCTGGACCCTTTTCAGCAGCTTTATGGAAAAAGGATGGGAGGGCTGCTCTTTATTCCAGCTTTAATGGGAGAGATGTTTTGGGCTGCTGCCATCTTCTCTGCCTTAGGTAAGGAAGGATTAATAAAATTAGAAATGTCTTAAAATTCTGGCTACAAATACTAATGCTAACTCCTAGTCAAATGATTCAGTGTGACAGTTCTCAGACCCATGCTAGCTAGTAATTAAACCCAGTAATGGTTCTCAGTAATTTTGGCAATGGAAAGACACACAAGGTATCTATTCACTTTCAGGTTCTTTTAAATTGTCCCTTTTCAAAGAGCATAAACAAGTTTAGCAACAAATTTCCATTAATTACAAGGGTAACACGATTAATTGGAAGTGTCCCTTTTACATCCAGGTTGATCCAGCTTCTCTTTTACACCACTGAGATCACAAAAGCCAGACAAAATCTCCCTTAAAGATATGAAACACTATTGCTAATGCAGCTAAACAAAATATAGGAGACCTACATATACAGAACTTTCCATTGCACAAGTAGTGGACGTATAACAGATGCTGATCAATAAATTGAAGTATTATCCAACTCTAAATGGCTTTCTCCTTGACAAAATGAAGAAAATACTCAGGATTCAAGAAAGGATTCTGAGAATTAGTGGAGCTATGACTCAATAGAAAATCACCCAACTATTCATCCAGCCCTGAAAAAAAAAATAAGTTTCCAGGGTTTTTAATTATATTTCAGTCTTGAATTTAGCAATCCCTTCAAGAACGGAGAAAACCCTTGAGTTGAAGCACCAGTAGTTGACTTCTACCAGCTAATCATACTCATAGCATGTGTGCATGTGGTAATGCTTTTGAGCACAAGCTATTTTAAACAGAAAATAAACTTTGAAGGTACCCTCCAACTGTGCTCTGATGAACTGCAAAGCAATGGGGAGCTTGTTTACCACAATTTCATCACAAAACCCTCAAAGAACTAAGAACAAACTACATGCTGAGGTGATAGGAGTTGAATAACTTGAAGACCATTCTGAGTATTTGGAATATATGAAGTATATTTTTGATTGAGGACAAGATAAGCTGTGACATGCCATACTAAGTGGTGGGAATACATTTCTAGTATGTTTATGTAAACAGATGACATTTAAAGGCTGTCAATAACTACTGATGTTAACTACTCTGAATAATATGGTTATATTATACCTCCTAATTTGCACACCTATCCTCACTGATGAATATTTAATCCCAGTACTCTTCACTTCTTGAATTTCCTCATGATTTCTTGCTTTGCAGGGTTATAGAAGGGAAAGACAGGGCTTCCAGCTTGTGTTATCTCTAAGCACATGAACTTTGAAGGCTCACTGTACAACAAAAAGCCACCTGGCAGCTCTTACATACCACACATCATGCTGTGTTCTACTGCCAGAACCTTTCCAGGCAGTGCCTGCAAGGTCTAAAAGTTATAGCAACATGTTTCATTTAAATTATCCTATCAAAAAGGATATTTTGGTTTTGTTGTTGTTGTTTTTAAACATGGTTTTAAAACATTACAAAAAGCTAGTGCATCTAAGGGAAATGTACAACCATCCTGATGGCTGCTGGAAGGGCAGTTCAGGAGAGCACGAGCAGTTCAGGAAGTTTCTTGAGTGCACTGACAACAACTTCCTTACACAAATTATTATGGAGCTGATGATTGAAGGTGTTCTGTTGAATCTGCTACTTACAAACAAAGAAGAACTAGTTAGGGATGTGAAGTTCAGAGGCAGGCTTGGCTGCAGTGTTCATGAGATGGTGGAGCACAACCCAAGCACACATAAATGGATTTAGAAAAGCCAAAGTCTACCTAGACTTGAAACTGACCACGAAGGGCATCAAGAAAGGCTTCTATGAGTACACAAACTAAGGAAAACGTGAGCTGTTGTTGAATGGGACAGAGGACCGGGTGGCAAAGGATATGGAAAGGGCCCTTCTCTGCTTCATTCTTTGCTGGTGAGATCATCTTTCAGGAATCCCTAGACCCTGAGAACCTTTGGAAAGTCTAGGACAAGGGAGGCTTGCTGGAGGAGGATCAGATTAGGAAACGTTTAAATAGACTGGACAGACACAGTTTCATAGGGACTGATGGGATGTGTCCCATGAGTGCTGTGGGAGCTGGCTGACAGCATTGCAAGGACACTCAGAATTCTTCTGAAGACTGTGGACTAGAAGAAAACAAATGTCATTCCCATTTTCAAGAAGCACAAGACAGAGGATACCAGGAACTAAAGGCTGGTTAGCCTCATCTCATCAAGCAAACACTCCTGAAAACTACGTCCAAATAAATGGTCAAGAAGGTGATTAGGGGCAGTCAGCATAGATTTGTGCAGAGCAAATAATTCCTGATCAGCCTGACATCTCCCATGATGAGCTGAATGGCTTGGTTCATGAAGGCAGAGGGTGATGTGGATTTCAGAAATGATTTTTTACACTATGTCCCATAATAGCATTGTAGACAAAAAGATGAAATATGGGCTAGATAAGGGGACAGTGAGGAGGACTGAAAACTCACTGAACTGCTGGGTTGAGAGGGCCGTGACCAGCAGCATGGAAGCCACTGAATGGCCATTCAGGGTACCCCAAGGGTCAATACTGAGTCCTGTATTGTGTAACATCTTCATTAATGACCTGGCTGGTAGGATCAAGTTCACCTTTAGCAAGTTTGCAGAAAATAAAAGCTGTGAGGAGTTGCTGAGAGATGAGATGGTTGTTTTGGCATTCAGAAGGACCTCAACAAGCTGCACAAATGGGCCAACAGGAATTTCATGAAGTTTAACAAAGGGAAATGCTAAGTCCTGCATGTGGGGAGGTACAATCTGATGTCCCAGTGCAGGCTGGGGGCTGACCAGCTGGAAAGCAGCTTTGCTGAATAAGATGCAGGAGTCCTAGAAGGCAATGAAGTTGATCATGGCCAGTCAGCAATATGACATTTTGGCAAAGAAAGCAACTGGCATCATGGATTGCATTAGAAGGGCCATTGCCAGCATACTGAGGAAGAGGATCCTTCCCCTCTGCTCAGCATTGGTCAGAGACATTTGGAGTGCCAGATCCAGTGTTCCCCAATACAACAGACATGGACATGCTAGAGAGTCCAGTGAAGACTCACAAAGATGAGTGGGATATACAAGGAAAGGCTGAAACAGCTAGGACTGTTCAAGCTGGAGAAGAGAAGGCTCAGGGGTTCTTATCCATGTGCATTAATACCTGATTTGGCAACGGAGAGAGCAGAATAAGGAAGATGGAGCCAGGCTCATCTCTGTGCTGCCCACTGACAGGACAAGAGGCAACAGGCACAAGCATAACTACAAGAAATTCCATTTAAACTTCAGAATAAACTTTTTTTTTTACAGTGGGAGAGGTCAAACACTGGCACAGGTTGCCTGGAGAAGTTGTAGAGTCTCCATGCTTGATATGATCCTGGATATTCAAAATCCAACTGAACATGATCCTGAGCAACCTACTCTAGCTGACACTGCTTGAGTGGGGACTTGGACTAGACAATCCATGGAGGTGCATTTCAGTTTCAGCAGCTCTTTGATTCTGTGAGCTGTTTTGTGGAGACTGACTGGGCAGCTCAACATCGTGGTTTGTTTTCTACAAATGAAATCTGCTTGAATGTGCTTGGAGAAGTTCTTGGTTTCTAGGTCAACAGTGGAGGCTGGATTCTCCAGTTTAAAAGAAACATACCTTTGTCTCATAACCAATTCAAGGACACTTTAGAATGATCAGTGGACAATTGTCCCTATAGCTGATGCCTCCTCTACCATCCTGTCCTTGGTCAGAAGGGGCTAGCTCAGAGCCTAAGCCAGGTTGAAAGGGTGTGATGTGTTGCAGCAGACCTCCCCTAGGCACCACTTTTACTGGAATAATATGGGTGACCCCACATGGCTCCAGCTCTCCCAGGGAGGCTTCAGCTCTCTGTGCACGGCTGCCTTTCCTTGGGCAGAAGGAGAGAGTGTGGTCCTTCCAGAGCTTGGGCAATGTAAGGAAAGGCTGTTGGGAACCTTCCCTCCTCTGTTTTGTAAGAACTTGGTAAATAGACAGATCCTAAACTTAGACCAACAAGAACCTTCCTTTTCCCAGTCCTTTAAAAAGTGCAGGGGGGTGTGCAGGAGACAGAGGATGAAGATATTCATGCTGTTGCTGTGTCAAACCAGCACCTGTGTATGTGATTTAACAAAGGTGAGCCTTCTCATCAGACACAGCCTAACACTTGCACTAACCCACTGCTCTGTTTTTCCCCATAGGTGCCACTATAAGTGTGATCATTGACATTAATGTCAACATCTCAGTCATTATTTCAGCCCTGATTGCAACTATGTACACGCTTGTGGGTGGGCTTTATTCTGTGGCCTACACAGATGTAGTTCAGCTCTTCTGCATCTTCCTGGGACTGGTAAGTTGTTGGTTTGGGGTTTTTTTTCCTTATTTGTTGAGGATTTTGCCTTTATGGTTGCTGAGAGCTATTGCCCAGCTTCAGTTTTGGAACCAAGTTTTGACTGAAAGCATGGAGGAAGGAGTATCTCAACCCACAGAGCCTTGACTTCAAAGAATTTGCTTTTACATCAATGACCAGCCCCTGCTTTGACAATAATGCTGACTGAGAGTCCTCATCCTTTGGCTTTTTTTTTCCCAACCAGTCTGACAGTGCAATTTTCCTGCTAAGTTTATATCTCATTCAGAACAGGGCTGGAGCTGAGAATCAGTCCATAGGACTATTGCACAGGCACTGGGAGGTGGCATCAGACATAGGGAGGAGTTGGTGAAGCAGTCCAGAAATGCTGGCACTGGACCTGCAGAGCTGATACTCCCCTGCTTCTCTTTCCTGTAGCTGTCACCTATGCATGCAGGTTAGCTAACCACCTGCTTTAAATCACCTTCTTGGCTTTCCCTTCATTTCCCTCCACTGTCCTTGGAGACCACAGTGTGGGAAGTCTCACCAGATGACCTCGCTGTTTGAATAAGGTGGTATGAAGATCCCCTCATCAGCTATCCATGATATACTAGTGGGCAGCTTTTTTTCTTTTATTTACTGCTGTTCTTTAAGCCCTGCTCTGAAAAACATCAGTGCAGCAGGGCTGAGATCACAGGGGTGCTATCATAGAAGCTGCTGTCTTTGTTTCTCAGGGGTAGTAATAGATGGTCACAGATGTGCAGGGAATGGAGACGGCCTGAAATAAATGGGGTGCCTCAAGGTGAAGGAGCTGAATGGCACCTTGGAGACCCAGAGCTGTTTCTCTGCTTTCAGCAGAGTTCTTGTGCAGCTCTAGGGAAATTGCTGCAGCCAGTGCTCACACAGGTGGTCACCAACCAACCCTGTGTGTGTCCTCACTCCGTGGCATCCTACTGTGAGGGTTTTGGACTTATTTTCAGGAGTGCTAAGCATTCCCTGTTGTAACTGACTTGAAAAAGCAAATCCAAATTTCAGCTGGCCATCTCAAATGAGAATCTATTCCAGATCTTCATCTCTCATACCTTTGTTTTTCATTTATTTTGGAAAAATACTGTCTCCTTCCCTAACACACGTGTTAATATTTGTGAACCACTCCGTTTCTACAGGTGGTGTGCATTACAGAATTTTCCCCAACTGTAGATAAATCAAAACACAGAAATGCTTTTTCAATGAGAAGAACTCATGCACTGCTGAGGACCCTGGTCCCATGGGTGTAACACCACATGATCCTATATTAAAGGCAACGTGAACCTTGCAGGGAGGGGAAAGCAAAGGTAGCAGGGGGGGTAGCAGTTTTCTAAATGGTTGGATCTGTAGCTCAGAGCTTTACTGCTCATTCCTTTAATGTCTCTTCCTTTCCTGGACCTTACCCAGAAAAACCTGCCTGTTGTAATCACCTCTGTTCCCTACCCTGGCTACTCTTTTCTGCCACAGCTTCTTCCTGAGGCTTCCAAAACCTCTATACCAGCCATTCCACGTACATCCCTAGTTTTCTTCTTACAATGCCATGTAGTCTCTCTCCTTCCTTCCTCACTCTCCTGTACCTACATCTGCAAATCTCACCTCTTTGTCTTTATCTTGCTTTGTGAGTCTTTCCCTGATTCTGCACTGTATCCCCACTATTTACTGACTGGGCTATTAATTCACCATTATAAACTTTTTTCCTGACTTCTAACCCTATGACATCCAGGTCTTTCTACCTACCTACTATTTCTACCCCTAAGCTTCAAGCTGCTAGTCCCAGTTTCTGCTTCATTTCCATGAACCTTGGTTTTATTTGCCCTCCATTCAAACGAGTGAACTTTATACTGCTGTTAAAAAGGGCTCAGTGAAGGAATTGAGCCTATGTCTATATTAAGGAAGTTAAACAGTGCCAAGATGAATGGTTAGCACACTCCTGGCACTGCTCTTGCCCACATCAACTGGTATTTTCCCAGATGGTTACCAGGAACAAGAATTTTTTGGCAGGCAAAGGAGTCTAGATGTATGGATGTAAATTATGAAATGCCAGTGAACTGAAGGGACAGAGAAAGTTCCTTGACTTGCTTTATTTACTAGTGTAGAGGCAGTCCTTGGGACCACAAAGAGCTATGTTACTGTCAGGAACTGGAATGGGTCACAGATTTCATAATGCACTCGCAATACAGAACCTATTAAATCCTAGGCTGTGGCATACAGGCTGCAGATGGACCTTTAGAAATGTACCCTGCTGAACATCTCAGCTGAGTATGGGCAAACTAGAGCTCTTCAGAACCTCATCACTTGGACATCTTTGAGATTTGAGATCGAAAATTAATAAAAAATTGGATTTGACATCCTTGTTCCTGATTAATTTCTCAATAACAAAAGAATTAACATCCATTAATTTTGACAATATTTTTTGTTTTTCCCTCAAAATATCTCAGAAACAGTTGAAACATTTTGGTGATCTTTCCCAGAAAAGCCCAAGCAGACAATGAGAATGGAATATTTCTGCCTAAGTGCTTAAATTGAACATGTAACTGGGAACATAATACTATGGTACATGATAATCAACCTGAATAACAGCCAGTGCTACAAAATATTCTTCACACAATATTGCAATAATCATGCAACAAAGTAGAGGAAGACGTTTTATTTGTCCTCTCCTTGATCCTGTTGTACCATACACTTAAATGTTAAGCAGTTGGATTGTGATAATCTATGTAGTTTGGGATATCACTAGATCCTTAAGGATCCCATACTTGTGATGGTCTTTGACATATAGTACAGAGGCTGGTTTCCATCTCAGCAGGAGATGCTGAGGTTGTCCTCATAAAAGTTAGTGAGTTACACCATGCAAAATGAGCTGGTAAGTAAGTGTACACAAGGTCTGTTGGTGAAGGAAATGAACCTTCTGGCAGAAATTGTCTCAGGAAAGGGTTTCCTTGCTGATATTTTTGGCCTAAAACTAATTTTTTTGGCCTCTGTTTTTTGTCAGAAACAGAGAGAGTGAAAATAGTCAAGAGTCCAGACAGAAAAGTGATGTAGCACTGGGCTTCTAGGTAGTCTGGTCTATGAGGTCTGGAGCAAGAGATGTGAGGGTTCACTGACAGCACCCCTCTCTTGTCATGATATAGGTTTGTGTTTAATTAGAAACAAATTCCAAAGCCTTCAGGTATGCTGGTGATACCTTATCTCTGTATACTGGCCAATCCTGATGCTATTCACAGCTCTATATGTAGAGGTTTCTCGACAGTGTGGTCCAGGAAAGGGTGTGAATAATATATGTGGAGTTTAGGGGAAAAAAAATGAAGATTTATAAATGTGTCTTTCCTGTGGACTTTGTGATTTACACTGAATAACTCTCTGCTCCTACTCACACTCTCCAGGACAGAGGTAAGCTATCCATTATGAAGTGATCTGCATTCCAGAGATGTTCTACCAGCACATAACCTGACTTTGTTTGCAAGTCGCCTCCACAAGTTGGGATTTCATCTGCAGCATGCAAGAAGAAGGAAGCCAGATCAATGTTAGTCCTAACATTTCCCAGATTTAGGGTGCCTTCTTCAGCCAGTGTTTTCCTTTGGTTGCAGTGGATCAGTGTACCCTTCGCCATGTCCCACCCTGCAGTGACAGACATCGGGCTCACGGCCGTGCACCAGGTGCACCAGGAACCTTGGCTTGGATCTATCAACTCACTTGACATTTACACATGGCTGGACAATTTCCTTTTACTGGTAAGTGATGGCTTGTATGAAGGGATGAAGCATTTAAGCACTCACACTCAGTTACTGTGACAGCTGAAAATAATAGAGCCTGGTTACGAGTTTCCAGCCAACTGAAAACCTCTACCCTCTTGACTTCTGCTCAATATTTCTGCACATTGGAATGATTTTAGTGAAATATCAGCAGAAGATTGTAGCACAGCTGTCAAAGTCAGCCTTGCCAGGAATGCAATTTAAATATCATCAGGCTGAAAGAGTTGACTTGTGCTAAAATTAATTAAAATTGTGCAGCTAATACTTAACTGATGTCATTGTTGGCAGAGGAATTTATATATTGCAAAAGTCAATAAATATGTTGTACAGATGATTAAATATGCCTTAGGTAGAGGTGATATAGAAAAAGCTTTGCAGAGAGGGAGGGAGGGAAGGAGGAGGGGATGGATGGATGGATGGATGGATGGATGAAATCATACGTGCACACATGCAGAATGAGCTGAGGGCTTTCATTATTTAGTGCCCATATATTACCCTTGGGATTGGTGGCTATTAAGTACTTTCCATTAGAAGATCTAGCAACACATGCTAAAATTTTCCATTCTCAGTGTCCCTGAGCAACTCTACACTGTTTTTATTATCATGTTGTACTTTGGGATTCCTTTCTCTGTATTCTTAAAAATACTTTCAACAAAATAGCTTTCTGACAGTTTTTTGATAATCAGGCTATTAAAATATATTGGTTTAACCAGCCTAAATTTTTTAGAGACTCTCAGAGAGCCTAAGCATGACTTTAGCTCAGGTGACTGTATTCTGTCTGGTAAATGTGACAGTTTCCTCTCTGCTGATGACCAAAGGAAAGCTCTGATGTTGCCAATTTGTGACCCATTTTCTTTTCATCCTGGTTGTTTCGCTGTAGCTCCAGAAATTTACACACTCTTGGAAAGCTTTCTTAGAGGAACATTTTTAAGGCTGCAAAGGAAAACAGTTGTAAATAGCAAGTCAAAGCCAGAGTTGTCTGTGAAACATTCATTTGGTCCCTGTGTGTGCACGAAATATATGTGAAACACCTGTACACACACTGTTTGGTCCAAATGACTCCTGCCTCATTTAGTGTGTAGAACCAGAGTGTGAATGTTTAATGGACAATTTCCTTCATTTTCTTTCCATGCTCTTCAGTCATAGACACATATTTACTTAGTGAAGACCATTCAAATTCTGCTCTCAAGGCAGAATTGGTAGCACTTGCTTTTCAACCTTTGATAATGCACTTTTGTATCCTATTTTGCAGACATAATTTTAAGTCTAATCAGGATCCTCACTGTCATGTACCTAAAACAAGAGAAGGGTTACCACTATAAAAGGAAACTTTCTTTTACTGCTTTGTCTTTAATTTCTATTGGCATCATATTTGATTAAAACATAGTCAGGAGAATTAAGTAACAGAAAAGTAGAAGCAATTTTTCAGATTCTTGTGTTCAGTGTATACAGAATGTGTTGCCTTGTTTTAATGTCCATACACATTCATAAAGGAAGATAAAATCTTGTTTTAAAATCCTATCAGAGAATAATCTAATTTTGGTGGGGGCAGGGGTTACTGCAGGCCAAATCCTCTAAATATGAAATATGACAATAGTATTTTGTAACATTTTATAAGGCTTTATCAAATATTTATGTAGCTTACTGTTCTTGGGGATTACAGGGACTATGTAACTGTGAAGTATTGTTATTAATTGGACTAAGGAATAACTTGTCTAAAAGAATGGGATTTAAGTGGATTTACAAGGGTTTAACATTATTTGTGAGAATGATAGTTACAGCTATTACTGACTTGATATTACAAATAAATGAAAGAGCAGCCACATGGCATTCAGCATTCAAGTGATGCTTCTGTGTGCTCTCTATATGGCAATAGCAAAAAAAACCCCAGAGTTAGCCCCCAGTGATGGGATGCTGCTCGTTATCTTTGCAGACATTGGGAGGAATCCCTTGGCAAGCCTATTTTCAGCGAGTTCTCTCCTCATCTTCTGCCACGTACGCTCAAGTTCTGTCATTTCTGGCTGCTTTTGGCTGCATAGTGATGGCTCTTCCTGCAGTGCTCATTGGTGCAATTGGAGCATCTACAGGTAAATGATTAAAAATTAAAAGTCTAGTAAATGTAAAATGAATACTACAATAAATGTGTGAAAGCTCTACAAACTTATGTTAACTTATATCTTATCTTATGTTAGATATAATTTAGACAGGTGGCATGAATAATCAACTCATGACTTCTTCAACAGGAGACTACATTGAAAAATAACATAGACTCTTTCTCCCAGGGGAAAATGCTCCTACCCCAGTGAGATTAACTCATTTTGCACATTCTAGGACTTTACAGATAGAATGTTTCTACTTAAAATTTGAGTTACATTCTGGTACTTTTATTTGGTCCTAAGAGTAACAGCTGCAAAATTACGGTGTGTATATTGTATTCATTTACCAAGAATTTATCTTGATCAAAACATCCTTGTCAAGTTCTTTGCCATAGTGAGAGTGATCATCATCACAGTGACCATGTAGCTGAACTGTAGGAAAGGTCTGTTAGAAATGCTGAACACGTGGCTTTGAGCTCTGAGTATGTAATCCAAGAGAACAGTTAAACCCTTTACAAACAAACATGGATCCCAGGCTTGGCTTTTTTGAGGAAAATTACATTTAAGAGCAATGCAAAGCTTAAATATTAAAATTCCTACAGAATAAACCACAGGCTGTGGTCAGATATAGCTTAGAGATAAGGAAAAGTGCTGAGCAGAACTCAATCTGCCGACACCGAGCTGTGTGGTGTGG